GCTACTGGCAGCCAAACCTGGGTCCTCTGCAAGAGTAGCCAGTGCTCCTAACCTCTGAGCCATCTCTCCACCCCTCCCACCTCCCTCCCTCTCTCTCTCCCTCCCTCCCTCTCTTTTCTTTTCCTCCCTCCCTTTCTCTCCCTGTGTGTGGGGGCACACATGGCCATGGTGGATGTGTGGTGGCTAGAGGCTAACTTCCAGAAGTCATTTCTCTCCTTCCACCATGTGGGTTCTGGAGCCTGAACTCAGGTCACTAGGCTTGGCAGTGCCCTTGCCTACTGAGCCATCTTGCCAGCTCTAAACATTCAGAGCTCCTAACTTTGTGTTAGCCAAGTTCCCTGCAAAAGCATCAACAAGGACCCATGCCAACTTAATCAGACAACGGCCCAGAGTGGAGTGAGGGAAATGGGTGGTGGGTCAGCCCTAGTCTGGGAACTATTGGAGACTGATTACTACTGGGTGAGGAAGAGTAGGCCTTACTAATGATCTCTAAGGAGACTGGCTAGACTCCAGTGGGTGAATTTGCACCAAAGGAAATCTGGGAACAAATCTTTGACTTGATAGGACTTAACATGTATGATGGAATACATGAGGTCCAGTGGGGGTGGGGAGCAGGGATTGGGGAGGGGATCTGTATTTGATTAAGAACTGTTGTTTGAAATGTACAAAAGCTCAATAAATTTTTTTAAAAGCATTGACTCTAAGCACTTGTCACAGGTGTTCACGTCAAAATTAGAACTGTTTATAGTTTTGTTATAGATGACAAAATACATGGAGTTTGATTTCTTTTTCTCAGGATTAGGTTGCTAGTTGTTGTAATACCAGATAGCATTTTATGACTAAAGATTTTTGGGGTAATTTGATTCTGAAAACCCTTCCTGGTACTGCTAGATTGATCACCTCAGACTGTGGGTCTTCAGTGACTAATGCCTGAGAGGAGGGGCAAACTGAGTCTTTGTGGAGTTGACGTGGGGAGCAGCAGTGATCCCCCACCCAACAGACTCAGTCTTCTGGTCTCCAGTGACTTTTACTTTGGGGGAATATACAATTTCCTTGAAGTTGCTAGTCTTGAGGCTCTGCAGTTATTTTTTTCCTATGTTGCCATGTGGCCTTCTGTTCTAATTTTGATGTGAGAGCAAAGAGCAGATTGTGTCCAGCCCAAGGTGTGTGTGTGTGTGTGTGTGTGTGTGTGTGTGTGTGTGCTATGTGTGTGTAAAAACTTCAAGTGATTATTTTTCCATAGACCTTGGCCAAAAAATTTTAGGATATCACTTTTTAAAAGTCTTTCTTGGTCACAGCGTCCGTGGCTGCTGTATAAGATCGTGCCAGTCAGCATTCAGGCAAGGAGAGGGGACGGGCTCACACAAGCCCCACCCCCAACTGAGGAGCTTTTGACAGCTGATGGCTTCTGGAGGAGGAAGAGTCCTTTTTCTTTATGGGTTTGGCCCCTGGTAGGTTGACCATGATGCAGTGGATAGTCACACACCCATGAGTATATGGCAGTACAAATTAGACTTGATGGGTTATAAGAAAAAAGAGAGAGAGGGACAGAAAGTTGGGGGAGACTGGGAGTGGAGCTGAGAGAAGTTAAGAGAGAAGAGCATGGGTGAATATGATCAAAATGCATTGTATGAAATTCTTAAAGAGTTAAAGTGGATTTAAAAAAAACAGTTCTTATAAGTTGAAGCACAAATCTGTCTAATGTACATTTATACACTGTTCTTCATATTAATCTCAGAAATGAGAGCCTGCAATGTTTTGGGGCTAGGAATGTTCTTTTTCTTTTCTTTTTTTATTGATTAACAGCAGTGCTGTCAATAGTAGAACTATTAACAGTACTCAGAAGATGAAAACAATCCAAACATCAAATAGCTGAATTGATGAACAAAATATGAGTCATATAGTAGAATGTTTTTGAACCATAAAAAGGAATGCAGTAGTGCCAGTAGTACAGTGTAGTTACAACTTGAAACACTGTGTAAAGTGGAAGGCTCTCTTACTGCATGATTGTGCTTGTGTGAATTATTCTGGAGAAGCTGGCCATGGTGTTTTGTACCTGTAGTCTCTGTACTTGAGAGACTGAGAAGTTTTGCCATGAATTCAGGGCTAGTCTGGGCTGCATAGTGAGTTCTAGAGCAAAAAAAGAAAAGAAATAACCTGCAGAAATAAATCCATAGAAACAGAGAGAATTAGTGGCTTCCAGGGACTAGAGAGGGAGACTAGAAGGGATGCCTTAATGAGTACCAGGTTTCATTTTGAATTGATAAAAAAATTTTGTGACTAAGTAGATGTAATGATTCCACAACATTGTGAATGTTCTAAATGTCACTAAATTGTACATTCAAAAGTGGTTAATATTACATTATGCAAATTTTACCTCAATTAAAAATTACATTGTATACTTTCTATGATCTCACAGATAACTATGGCTTTGCTGTCATAGTTACCTTGTGACTGTTGGAATCCACGTGCTTTGTGGCATTGGCCCATTGAGTAGGTCTCTCCAGATATGGGTGGTTATCTTGAAGACACATGATTCCAAGTGGGTTTCTTCCTATAATAACAATTAAGAAACATAGTTTTGGTTTTTCATTTTTATTTGTTGAAATTTGGAAACGTACTACCTTGAATGGGGACTGAGTGATTTTAAAATGTAAACTGGTCTGATATTTATTGGTTTCTTTATTTGACTTGAAAAGGCATGTTTAAAACTAAGTTTCTAATATTTAGAAATGTAAAAAATTTTGATTTTATGAAAATATATAGTAATTTTAAAGCCTCTTAGAAATGTTTTTGGAATTGTAGGCATGTTTCTCTGGTTCTTTTCTATGCTATACTGGTAGATATGTTTGTGATGCTTTCTGAAACCATAGCAAATCCTTTTTAATACCAGTAGAATTGCTGTCAGGAATAAGAAAATTCTATTTTCAGTTCAATCAAGCAGAGTTTGTGCAAAACCCAGACATATTAATTTCTTTATCTTCTACCTGTTTTGTGTTTTTTAAGGATGAATTTTAAGTTGTCTTCTGACAGGAGTTGGTGTTGAGAAGAAGTTGTACAGAGGCTGATGTACTTTGCTGTTGTTGATGGGTCGAGAAGCTTTTCTTCATGACTGCGGCTGCTGTGCTTTGTGGGTCCTTGCTTCTCTAGAGATGTGTTTGTGTCAGTTGTCTTGAGTGTTCCCACCTAGTTCCTTTTATAACCCCAAACATGCCATGCAGGCCAGGAGTCTGCAGCTATGAAGCATGTGCAGTCATGTGGTCTGTAGTGAACCCAGCAGGCATCTGACATGTGTCATGTCCCAATCAGCAGGGCTGGAGAGTAAAGAACTGTCTTGCTTGCTTTGAGACTTTAGTGTTAGAGGCAATCTGGTAAGTATAGCAAGATATATAATGTAATAAACTGAAGCAGTGAGCAGATACGATAGTTTATTGCTTCTGATTTTTGCGAAATTAGATTGCCTTTTTCTGGTGTTCACAGGATATTTAAACAAACAAACAAAAAGATTAGCTTTTAAGTTGTGGAAAATTAGAAATTAGGTTTTTTAATAAGTGGTAAAATAGGAAAAATATCTAACAACTGGTTTAAGTAAACATACCAGCACAGCAATTAAAAAAAAATTGAGTGTGGTGGCACACACCTTTAATCCCAGTACTTGAGGAAGGCAGAGGCAGGCAGCTGTCTAAGTTTAAAGCTAGCCTGGTCTGCAGAATGAGTTACAGGCCAGCCAGGGCTGCATAATGAGACCCTGCTCAAAAACAAATAAGTAAATAAAATAAAAATTTAAAAAAAGGAAAGCAGTAAAAAAAAGACTAGGTAGATGAAAGTTTAACTTACTAGAAAATTAATTTTTAAATTGCTCCAAAAAGCAGCATAGTGCCTGCCGCATTGCTATGTTACCTACTTAACCTCACCGGGTTTCAGTTTTGTCATCTGGGTAATTAAAATAATCCACCCACTAGGGTAATTGTAAGAATTGTATTTGTAACATATGCAGGCAATACACTCATAAAATCAAAGTAATAAATAAATTTTGAAAAGAATTGTCTTTGTTAATGTAGCTAAAGCTCCTGAACAGTGCTTGATGAATGTGAAGATGAGTGTCTGTTAAAGCAAGGAATGCTGACAATAACCCATAGCTGCTTTGGTGAGGGCAAACCTGTTTATATTCACAGGTGTTCATAGTGCTGAACATAGTGTTGTATTATAGCAAGCTCTGAATGTTGGAAGTTTCAAGCCTTTCTGGTATACTCACTTTTGGTCCATTTTACTGGTGATGGTCATTTTAATCAGAGAACACTTTGTAAGAGAATAAAGAACTCAAGAGCACTGTGTTTTTTAAAAGTCTTTCCTACGTCATTTTAAGACCCCAATAAAGCATCTCTGGTGGTTTATTGAAAATACGTTGTCTCATCCACTAAGAATTACCATGTGCTCAACATTGCCACTAGGGTAGTGTAGATAGATGATCAAAGATAAGGAGTAAGAGAAAATAGCTCCTTAGACTAGAGCTGAAGGACAGAAACCCGTCCCCCCTATTTTTTTTTTTTTTTTTTTTTTGTATCCCTGGAGTCTATACCAGGCAAACCCCAAGGCTTTGAATGGAAGAACATCAAAAATTAGCATGTCCTTAAAGGTGTGCATCCTCAGAATTACTGTAAAGCCACATATTAGCTAATTATTTCTGCCAGGCCACCTAAACCTTAGTTAGACAGGGAGATGATTCTTGTTTTGATCTGTTTTCTGAGACAGCTGAGCTTACCTTCTATTTATATGTTCCAGTTTCCACTCTAATCAGTTGGAGCTTTTACATTAGTGCTTAATCAGCGTTTTTAGTAATTGTAAATTACTAGTGTGTATTTTGATGATCTCATCCTGTCCTCCCTACTTGGTGTTCATGGATACTTGTGAAAATGAATTAGAAAAGATGAATGAGATTAGATAACTGGGCTTCCTAGAATGTGCTTTCTTCTCTTATAAGGATGATGCATCTTTTCCAGGCATGAATAGCAGCTGCAGAAGCAACCAGTGACCCGATAAAGATGCATTTGGGGCAGTGTAAAGTGAAGCGGGGCAGGAGAGGAGGAAGGAGGTAAGGAAGATATGGGCCTTCCAAGGAGAAACGTGTATAACTGTGTAACGCCTGAGTTGTTATAGCCATCTGTTAAGCTTGCTTATTTATTTATTTATTTATTTATTTATTTATTTATTTATTTATTTATTTATTTATTTTTGAGACAGGGTCTCACTATGTAACTCTCTGACTGGCCTGGAACTCTATGTAGAGCAGGCTGACCTGGAACTCACAGAGATCCACCTTCCTCTGCCTTCCAAGTACTGGGTCAGAAGGCTTGTGCCACCATGCCTAGCTACATTTGTTTTTCATTTTAGTTTTTTTTGTGGGTGTGTGGTGTTGAGACAGGTGTCATGTAGCCCTGGTTGGCCTCAAACCTACTATGTAAAGGAGGATGACTTTGAACTCCTGATCCTCTTGATTCCTATTCTCAAATGCCAGTATACACAGCTATTTGCTTTTAGTCCAAATTTATCAATGCTTGCAAAGCATTTCTTTTTCACAATTTTGTTATTTCTTTTTTGTCCTTCCCCCCCAATTCTATGTGTTTCTTTCTTTTGTAATTACATTTGCCAATAATGTCACTTTTAGTAGTTTATTCACAGATATTCCTGATTGAAGCATAGAACTTGTTTTTGGTTATTTCTCTGAGACAGAGTTTTGTCACATAGCTTAGGCTGTCTTCAAATTTATAATCCTCCTGCCATTCCTCCCAAGGAGTGTTGGGATTACAGGTATGTTCCACCTTACATAGCTTTGAAACAAAAGTGAAAAAATAAAGAGAACTTCATGTAAAAACATAAAAGGATATAGTGAAGCCGTCATCACTCCTGCTCTTCAGCCATAGACAGTAACTCCTGCACTTCCCAGTGAGCCCTTCAAAGTGCTGGTGCTATTGTTTCAGAATGCCTGAGTTCATAGAACTGGGCATGGTGATACATATTTGTAATCCCAGGAGGGATTGCCATGAATTTGAGGCCAGGCTGGCATATATAGTAGTAAGACTGCCTCAAAACAAAGCAAAACAAAGCTAATTGATTTTTTTTTAAGTTTTTTGAAATTCTTTTGTTTGCTTTTCATTAGTTGTGTAATTTTTATTTGTTCAAATTTTTTTGGGCAATGCGAAAAGAGATGCTTGTTCTCTATTTTTTCAAAGATTTATTTTTATTTTTAATTATGTGTATATGTGTGTGTGTGTAGATATGTGCATGCATGTACCAGTGCCTGTGGTGACCAGAGGCATCCAGTATCCCTGGAGCTGGAGTTACAGGGTGGGTGTAGGGAATGGAGCTGGCTGCTAGGAAGCAAGCTCAGGTCCTCTGCAAGAGCAGTTCATGCTCCTAGCTGCTGAGCTGTCTATCTAAATATTCTATAATATGATTTCTTGTGCAGTGATTGTTTCTGTATTTATTTACATTAATCAAAACAGAAGCAGGGCCTTTCCTGTCATACTTAGGAATTCAGCCTCTCCCTTTTTGGTTCTTCTAATTCCACACACCCCTCCCTCCCATCTGCCAATTACTTTTTCCCTTCCCTTTTACATTTTACATTTATTCTATGAGGTGTACCAATTCTGGGCTTTAGCTGGTTCTCCTAAGCACTTTTCTATTTTTGATTCACTCAGTAAAACACTGAGGCTTTGTTTAGAACTGGTAAACACCGAGTGAGGGTAGGAGATAAAAAGCTAAGGGTAGATTTTCCCTTGCCTTTAAGATCCCCTGTCTGGTTGAGGAGTTGGCATGTCATGCAAACCTAACAACAGTGGTAAAAGTTGTGATGTGTTGAGTGTCCTGGAGAGATAGAAGAGGAAAGGAGTGATATTTGGTGAGTGGGTGAAGGCATCCTGGTTGCTGAGAGGTACATTGGCATTGAAGTGCGGTGGCAATGGTAGTGGGAGACAGAAAAAATGAAGACACACTTGGGTCTCACATTGTTATTGGAAGAGTGGCTAGAGATGAGCTTGGACAAATGGGAGGTTGGAATGAGTTATCAAGCACCTTGAATGCCAGGCCAGGGAGTTTGAGTTTGCATCTTGTGGGCTGTACCACAAAAGTTTCACAGTAGGGAAATCATGCTTGAGTTTACTCTTAGAAAGGCAGCTTTCTGTGAAGCACAGACTGCAGAGACGGAAGTTAACTAAGCTACTGTGGTTGTCATCCAGATGAGAGGAGGAGTGGTGAGCTAACCAAAGGCGTTTTGTTAGTTTTGAAAAAGACAGTGATAGTTGAACTATGGAAGGACAGACAAATTTGGAGAGAGGTAGAGGGGAGTTTATTTTAGGACTTGATAGCTAAGAAGACACCTAGAAAAAAAAAAAAAAAAGAAAACACCTAGAAGCAAACCAAAATAGTGGAAAAAGTGGGGATAAGGTGTGAGAATCATGTGCTCCACCCTTAGGATGCTAACATCCTAAGAATAAGTGGAACATGTAGCCAGAAAATAAAATAGTCTCTCAGCAGGGGCCAAACTCTGTGCAGGAAATCAAAACATACTGAGTAATGTCCAGCTCTAGGTGGCTAAGGCTCTTCAGATGGCTTATTTTATCTCAACAGCCCTGTGCATGGAAATTATTATTCTGCTTTGTAAGCCAGGAAACTAAGGCTCCAAGGCATCGTTACTAAGCTAGCAAGTGGGATTGCAGACGAGGCCCAAATGCCAAGTCTGTGCTTTTTTGTTAGAAGCAAAAAAGTGATGTGGAAGAGATGATTGCCTACAAGGGGCAGTGGTTAGCACGAGCCACACACTCAGAGACCCCTGAGTAGGGTAAGGACCCATGCTAAGCCACTGGTTTCTCAGAAAATGAAAAGCCATGCCAGTATACGCAGTTCCCATGGAGTGCCCAAACCAGATGTCCTGGGCTCAGGTGAGGTAAGCAGGTGCAGTGAGGCCTTGGGAACATTTTGGTGGCAGAAGAGTGACAGAGGCACCTTGTCTGGGGGTGGCTTCATGGTTGCTTTTTCACAGATGACAGCTTGAGGCATTTTGATTTGCTCAGGTTTTTTTTTTTTTTTTTTGTCTTTTTTTGAGACAGCGTCTCCCTGTAGCCCCAGCTGTCCTGGAACTCACTATGTACACCAGGCTGGCCTTGAACTCACAGAGATCCACCTGCCTCTGCCTCCCGAGTGCTGGGATTAAAGGTGTGTGCCACCACGGCCCAGCTTGCTCAGGTTTTTTTAAAGTCCTTTAGGTCTTTATTTCTTAGATTGCCTTGTCTCTAGACTTTTGTTATTACAGGAATAAAGGCTTGATTACTTTTTTGTACTCTACTTATTTAGCATGTTTACTTAGAGTTCTTTGTTTCTGTTTTTCTTCTCCATAGTGTGTTCAGATGTTTCCAGACACTGTGGTCACTCTTTTGATTGTTAATTTTGTATGAGACCTTGGGAGCTCCTGGGTTTTTTTCTCTCTCAAATCTTTCCATTCTGGAAGTAATTTCCTCCTGGTGTTTCAATCTTGTTAACTCAGTTTCCCCCAGAACTCTAATTCACAGATTGTGACTCTCCTCCAGAGAGCAGTTTGCTCATGTGTTCTCTAATAAAAAGAGGCAGCAGTGCTAAGAGCTGGGTTCTGGAGCCAGGCTGCCTGGGTTCAAATCTTGGCTGTAACCTCAGGTGAGTTATTAGCTCCTGTGTCTGTTTGCTGTGTGTAAAATGGAGGGAATAGTATCAACCACTAGGGGTTAGGGTGAGAGTAAATGAGCTACTGCATGTAAAGTGCTTAGGGTGAATGACCTGTCTGGTATGTGTCATGTGTTCTATCACTGTTAGCTTTTTTTATTTTGACACAGGGTCTTACTGTGTAGCCCTGACTTGCCTGGAACTCACAGAGATCTACCTGCCTCTGTTGAGATTATAGGCATGTGCCACTATGCCCAGCCACTGTTAGCATGGGAAGGAAACAGTTGGAGATGTGACCTCTTCCTGACTGTCATTTGGACCATGTAAATAAATGATAAACTTACACACTGTTGAATCCTTAATGAAGGAGAACTAGGCAAATCCTAGAACCAGGTAGTATTTGTTCTCTTAAGGGTTTTTTTTGGGGGGGGTCTTTTTGAGACAGGGTCTCCCTGTAGCCCCAGCTGTCCTGAGCTCACCATGTAGACCAGGCTGGCCTTGAACTCACAGAGATCTGCCTGCCTCTGCCTCCCAAGTGCTGGGATTAAAGGCGTGCACCACCACGCCCTGCGCTTTCTTAATGTTTTAAGGAGCCAACAATGAACAGTTTTAACTACGGCCAAATACAGCATCTGGAGTTGCAGATGTGTACTGTGTGACCTCACTTTCCCCATCTCAGTGTTCAGTTGAAGTTCCTTAAACACAGATTGTAAAATTTTTATTTCTATCTTCCAGAGTAGCCCTTCCAAATTAAAAAAAAAAAAAAAAAGTTGCTCTTCTAGTTCTCTTAGTGCAAACACTTTGGGGATGGTTCACTGTCATGGTTCACTTGACTGGATTTGGAAGCCCCCAGAAACACACCTCTGGGTGGATGTGTCTGTGAGGACAGTTACAGGTTCGCTCTGCAGGGAAAACCCACCATGAATGTGGGAAGCACTGTCCCTTGGACTGGGCTCCAGAATGAGTAAAGAGAGGGGAAAGGAGGAGGCAGCTGAGCACCAGCACTCATCTCTCTGCTTCTGACTGTGGACACATGATCGACCACTTTGCGCTCCTTCTGCGGTGATTTCCACCATGATGACTGTCTCCTCTCAAATCCCAAGCCAAAACAAATGCTCCTTCCCTTAAGTTGCTTGTATCAGCTGTTTTCTCACAGCAACAAGAAAAGTCATGAACACTACCTTTAACTTCTTATGCAGTTTATATGCTGATCTTACTTTAGTTGTTTTACTTCATTGGTAAGAATTTTTAAAAATATTGAAGATGATCACACAGTAGTCCATATCCTCTTAGGGTACTGGTCTTGGAGGAGCTGAATTACATCACCTTGTCTTATTTATATCTGCTATTCTCTTTTGTTGCCTTCTTTGGTTCTTAGTATTTTTTTCTTTCTTTCTGAGTTATGTATTTTGCCTAAAAATTCTTGGTTCCACCCATATTCCTACAACATCAAAATTTCATTATTTGCAGTTGAATAAAATTGCATTGCGCATATACACCACATTTTCTTTATCCTTCCATCTGTTGATGGACATCTAGGCTGGTCCCATTTCCTGGCTATTGTGAACAATGCAGCAGGAAACGTGGATGAGCAATTATCTATGTGGTATGTTAACTTAGAGTTCTTTGGGTGAGTACCCAGGAGTGGTATAGCTGGGTCATACGGTGGTTCTATTTTTAATTTTTGGAGGAACCTCCACACTGATTTCCAAAGTGACTATACCAGTTTACATTCCAACCAGCAGTATACAAAGTTCCTCTTCCCTCAAATCCTTGCCAGCACTTTTTCTGCTGACAGTTTTTGAAAGGCCACCCCAAACTCAAATTGAAACTCTTCTGAATAGGTCTGCTTATAGGGTCTCATTGGGTTTTGTTTTTTTTTTAAGGAATGATGGTTTTCTTGTATCTACTGAAAGACTCATTTGGTCTTTCTCATTTAAATTTTTGATTTGCATCATATTTATCTTGTGCTATCATTTCATTCTGAGACAAATCCTTGTCAATTTGGTTATTTCTTTATTTTTTGGTCTTTTTAAGATAGGGTCTCCCTGTAGCCCCAGCTGGCCTTGAACCTCACAGAGATCTACCTGCCTCTGCCTCCTCAGTGCTGGGATTAAAAGTATTTGTCACCACGCCTGGCCTTAATTTGGTCTTTTTTAATCATTTAATTATTTGGCCAATAATTTTTTTGCCAATAAAACAACCTTAAGTGTATATTAGTTCAGACTTGTTATGTGTGACAGGGTTCTCATTTGACTTCTTAAAGTAACATGCCTTTGTAAAAAGTTTAAATAATAGAATAGTTCTAAGCTAAATAATAAAATGAATCAGACAACTCTTCACTAATTTTGGGGTTTTGTGATGCTCTAGATTGCCTGTGCAGCTTTATGGACGTAGTTCTCTCTTCCTCTCTCATTCATTTCTCTCTCATTTGTTGTTTCTCTTCTTCCTGTATCTGTCCATCCACACCTACTTTACAAAAAGGGATCACACAGTCTTGAAACTGTTTTCATTTAATAGGCTATCATGACATCTATTTCATTCTTCGTACTTCAGTCTCTATAACTCCTGTAGAGTATTCCATGATGTGGAGTGGTCACATTTATCTAGTTGGCCCCATTGGCAGATGTTTAATTTATTCCTAATTTTTTTTGCTAACACCATATAAACATCTTGGCACATGTTTATATGTGCAAGTATTATGTAGGCTAGATTACTAAACATGAAATAGTGAATTAAAGGCGATAAATGCAACAAGAGTTCTTAAGTCTGTGTACCCCTAAAGCTAGTTATGTGTAAAATATGCTGTATAGTATGTATTCATTTTCTTAGAGTGAGAGACTAGAGAACAGATTCACAACGAAATCACCACCCCTGCCACTACCAAAAAAGGGGAAACAAAACTATGAGTCAATAAAGTTAAATAACTTGCTTGAAGTTCATAGTGGGACTCAGATTTAAGCCCATAATCTCAGATCTAGTGTGACTAACAGTGGCACAGTGTTCAGATGAACTGTATATCAAATGATAGTGCCAGTCACTGAAGGGTTATGAGAGCTCCACAATGTTTTTTTCCTCACAAAAAGATGGGCTGCTTTTATAAGCCGAAGAACAATACAAATCACTGAGTAATCAAGAAACAATTACAAGGGAACTGGTGAGGTGGCAAGGGTGGGTAAAGGTGCCTGCTACCAAGCCTAAGTCAGGTGGTCACCTGACTTAGATTCAAGGAGCTCACATGGTGGAAGGAGAGAATCAACTTTCACAAGTGTCCTCTGACCTCTAAATGTATGCCCATGGCACATGATGTCTGCTCAAAAAATAAGTAAATGTAAAAGAAATTTTAAAGCAATAACTATTATTGCTTGTATGACAGAAGTAGTAAGGGAGCCATATTAACTTATCACTTAGGGTTTAGAACTGGGTTTTTTTGTTGCAACAAGGTCTCACTATAACCCTGGCTGGCTTGGAACTTGCTATGTAGACCAGGCTGGCCTCAGTCTCACAGAGATCAGCCTGCCTCTGCTTCTTGAGTGCTGAGACTGAAGGCGTGCATAACTATATCCAGCATACAGGAAATTAGGGTTTAAAGATTATTTATTTATTTATATTTATTTAGTACAAAATTTTTATTGAATTTTTGTGGATTTCATACAATACGTCTTAATCATATTTAGACCCCCCCACCCCTATCTGCACTGACCTCCTAGCTCCACCACTGAATTTCATGCATTTTGTCATATATGTTAAGGCCTATTGAGTCAAGTTTGTGTCCCCAGATGTCCCTCAGTGTGAATTTATTCCCTGGAGCCTGGTCAGCATGTCTAGAGTCACTCTCTTAAAGAATACCAACTCTCCCTCACCCAGCAGTAATCAGCTGCCAATAGTTCCTCAGCTAAGGTTGGAGCTTCTTTCCCATTTCCCCAGGTCTATGCTGTTTTTTTTCTGATTGAGTTTGCATGGGTCTTGTGCATGCTATCACCATTGCGCTGAGTTCATATAAGCAAGCTCCCAGAAGCCTGGAAAACTGTTTCCTTGTGATCATCCACTACTCCTGGCACTTAAAGTCTTTCCATTCCCTCTTTTGCAATGGTCTCTGAGGAAGAGGTTTAATATGAGTCCTATCCAGGGACATATACTCTGCAGTCTCTTATTTTCTAGTTTGGCCAGTTGGGGCCTTCTGTGTTAATTGCCCTCTGTTGCATGAGGAAGTTTCACTGGTGAGAGTCAAGATATGCATTAATATTCTCTCTATCCCTTGTTCTGCTGTGTTCCATGAGCCATGGATATAGAGGTTCCATTATAGATGTGTCATCTTATATATACTTTCCCTCTGTTTGACAAGTTGCAGAACTCCGTAAGAATCTCCATCTGTTGCAAAAAGAAACTCCTTTGATAAGTGGTGAGAGGTGTACTTATCTGTAAATATAAGAATACATATTTAGCATATAGTAAGAGATTATCTCTGTCTAGGGATGTGATAGACATAAATTTTTCTCTAGGCTCTATGGCCTTTCCAGCCATGTGTATTCGGCTATATTTACAGTGCTACATATGAGTTCCCTCCTAATTGAGCAGGCTTTAAGTCCAATTAGAGAGCTGTCGATTACCTCCAAGAAATAAAAATGCCACTACTGCACCAATAGAGATAGTTTGCTGTGGTGGTCATTGTTGTGGTTATTAGGCTTTGTTAGTATTACCTGTATAAGTGTATGTGCATGTACATGTGTGTGGTATATGTGTGTGACTGTGTGACATGATGTCTATGTGTACGTCAGAGGCCAACTTTGTGGAGTCATTTCTCTCCTTCTACCTTTATGTGGATTTCAGGAATAGAACTTGGGTTGTCAGGCATGCACAACAAGTGCTTTTATCTGCTAAGCCATTTTACCGGCCCACCATTAGTTTTAAGGAGAATGAGCATGCTTGTGAATGAGAGTGTGAGTAGGCCTGTGAAGACCTCTGGCAGAATTTTCATAGTCTCAGATAAACTG